ACCAGGACCTGACGGCTATGATATGGGCTATTACAAAACATTTAAGACGGAACTGACACCCCCCCTCACCAAGCTATGTAACCGCTTCCTCCAGGGGGGAACCCCAGACCAAGACATGGCTACCGCCAACATAATCCTACTGCCCAAACCCAACAAGGACACCACACTTGCCACAAACTACAGACCTATTTCCCTCATCAACACCGACTTAAAAATATTCGCAAAAATATTAGCAACGAGACTGATGCCTCTGCTGCCCAAATTAATACACCCAGATCAGGTCGGCTTCATGCCGGGACGCCAGTTATATGAAAATACACACAGAGGTGCGGAATTGATATGGCACGTATCACACACTAGGCTACCAGCCCTCGTCCTCTCCCTTGACGCAGAAAAGGCCTTCGATAGAGTGCAGGGCCCTTTCTGTTCAAATTACTCCAAACGCAAGGCTTCCCAGACCCCTACATCACGGCAATAAAGGCTCTATACACGGACCTACAAGCACAAACCATAATAACAGGAGCACCAAAATCCCCATTCCGAGTGAGCAATGGAACGAGACAGGGCTGCCCCCTGTCACCACTCTTATTTGCGATCGTTCTCGAGCCGCTTCTACACCTCATTCGAGCTAACCCAAACATAAAAGGAGTGCACTTAGGAGATGAACAATTTAAAGTAGCTGCATATGCAGATGATATACTCCTAACGCTCACAGACCCGACCCGATCAATGGCAAACCTAGAAAAGCTACTGCAGACATATGGGGACGTATCAGGATACAAAGTCAACCTTACTAAATCGACAGCACTAACATTCCATATACCTGACCAGGAGACACAACACATCAGACACACCTACCATATCAAAACCAACACAGACACACTCACGTATCTAGGCGTCAGACTCACAGCAGACCACAACACACTATTCAAGCATAATTATACACCACTGATCACGAAGCTCAAGACTGACTTGGAAAACTGGACAGACAAACCCATCACGTGGCTAGGTCGCCTACACTCAATAAAAATGAACCTTTTACCAAGACTACTATTCTTATTCCAAGCACTCTCGACTCGAGTGACCAAGAGTCACTTAGCTGACATACAAAAGGCAATAGAGGCCTTTATCTGGCAGAGAAAGCGGCCAAGAATAGCCAAAACAATACTGTATAACCCCAAATGGAGAGGAGGCCTAGGTATGCTCCACCTCCACCATTACTATATCGCAGCCCAAGTCGCCCAAATAGCCCACTGGCACTGCCCCAAAAATCAAGGCCGATGGGTCGACATAGAATCCCTCATGACAGGCGCAGACCTCCCGCAATTCCTCATATGGACACCGAGAAAACATAGAGTAATCTTACAGACCGACTGCCCGGCCATTCTAAACTCCATTAGCTTATGGGACCAAATCGCACAGAAATTCAAACTCACAAACCTCCCGTCCCCAATGACCCCAGTACTACGTAACAGAGCATTCCCACCGGGCCTAAGGGCAAGAGACTTTAAAGGCATCGAAGCCACAAACCTACAACGCTATATTCACCTATATATCGACAACCAACTAGTACCATACCAACACTTACAAACCCTGGCCCCATTACAAACCCGCGACTTCTTCCGATACGTACAATTGCGAGATTTTGCACAAACTAAAGAGGTCAAAATGGCAAATGCCAAACCTCTTACTTTCTTTGAGCAAATCTGCCTAAAAGAAAAAATGCCAGTGAAATTAATCTCACTGTTATACAACCACATATGCTTAGAATCAGGAACGTGGGGACCACAGACATACACAGACAAATGGGAAGCAGATCTGGGTGAAACGTTAGAGGGGACAGAGTGGCAAGATATATGGGAGGCGAACACAAAAGTGTCTATATGCACGACCCTACTGGAACAAACATATAAAACAATGCTCCGGTGGTATACAACCCCAGTCAAGCAATACCACATGCAACTCTGCCCCACAGACACCTGTTGGCGACTATGTGGAGAAAAGGCACATACACCAAAGTAAAAGAGTTTTGGGGAAAAATAGTAGACATGAACACTAAAATCTTACACCGACAAATAACACTGGACCCTGGGCATGCCTTCTATCACGACCAACAAATGGACTAGACAAACACGACCAAAAACTTCTGAACATGCTCAATCTAGCAGCTCACAGAGCATTGGCACAATACCAGATAAAACCTGAGACACCCCCACTATCTCTAGTAATCTCCAAAATCAGAGATAATTACTTAGTGGACAAGATGACAGCAAACCTCCGCAACACCACCACCACATTCCAAAAGGTATGGGCCCTTTGGGAACAATATGATGAAAAACCATAAGACAAATGAGAACCCACTCACAGACAACTACTCACTTGTGCAGTTCTAAGTTTTAACTCTTATTTTATCTTGTTCTTTTTTTCTTTTGTACATGTTTTTATGCATACAAAAAAAATAAAAAAACCCTTGACAGGCGAAACGAAAACTAAGCGACGACGGCCTCTGCGCAACCCACATGGAATATATCTAAAATTTATATTATGTACACTAATAACCCAGCTTTCCTTTCTGTAACATGACTAAAGCAAAATTGAAGAATGGGCTTCTGCGTAAGCCAACATTGATATCACCTTAAATGTCTGTCAATGCAAAAATAAAGAATTGAAAAAAAAAGAAATATATTTCTGCAGTTGTTTCATTTTTTCTTCCATTGTCCCAATCTATTCTTCATTTCTTCTTTTCTGATCTATTTCGCTTTAAAAACATAGGACGTTTGCTCAGTAGTCTCTTGAGATCACATCTCAATTTTCGAGTGCCGTGCTTGCTCAGTAAATTGTCTTTGCTTGTGGCTTACTAGGCATGCATGGCAAGCATTCATTACCAACGATTGGAGGTGAGATTTACATTGTGTTACACAATGTGGGCAGAAAGGGGCAAAGACAGTACATCATTGCCGGATTCATCAATATAGCGGCACATTGAATATAAAACTGTTGAAAAAATTACGGTGATTTAGCAGCCAATACAAGGATTAAATATGTTGTGGGGGCAGTGTCAAGGAGGTGGACATGAAATAAAATTTGGTGGTGGGCGGAGCCTGGCAGCCATGCCGAGCGGTCGCACACTGCAGGGGCTCCGAGGCAAAAACCAAACAACTACTGAAATAAACGAGAAAAAGCCCTCAAAAGTGCCTGCTCGACAGCCAAAGGGGTCTTCCAAAGCGGCAACAAAAGCCAGGAGATCCAACCGCAAGTGACAGTCTCTCACCAGGGATCGACCCGAGGCCTACGGAGGGCCTGATCAGGCGGCACGAGGGAGGTGGCCGATCCCTCCTCCGCAGCAGCCTTTCCGGCTGGAGATCTCCCCGAGACACTATACCTCTCCTCCCCTCCCCCCCCCATGCCGGCGGGGGTCATCCCCGCAACCTCAAGCCACGAGTCCGCATCAGGGAGATGACCTGACCCTACCTGCATGACAGAACAAGCTGGGAAAAGCATGGCCAACGCCACATGCAGCCTTGCGCCCAACACCACACTGCCCCCGTTAGCGGAGAGGATTGACCACCTATTGAAAGCTTTCTGGGCAAAACTCGCCCTACGAAAGGATACGGAAGCAGTGTCGCCTGCAAAGACAACACAAAAGCCAGCAAGGCAGACAATAACCCCTGGACGAGGCCACAGAGCAGCCGAATCGCGGGGAGGAGAGTTCGGATGATCCGGCGGAAATTTAAACCTAACCGCCACAAAACCAATCCAATGGAACGCCGCAACACTCTCAAGCACCGACCCACCCAGAAGGTACTCTCTCCAGGCTCCCAGACGGGCCCAAAGCCCACCATGCCACCCAAGAGACTATGCCACGCAGGGGGACCCCAGGACCCTGCAACAATCCACCATAGAGCTAGAGAACTCGGCCCGTGGGGGCTCACCTCAATAAGGGCCTGGCAGGGAGACTTCATCGGAGACCTGCACAAAGGCCACCACGCCAGCAACACCATACACGCATCAGGTATAGGGTGAACAACCGGGACTTACTACCAATAACCGTGAGCTCCATATTGCGCAGTATGTGGATCCACACGTTGCAGTGATCTACAAGCCTAAGTATAAATTAACCCTCACTGCTTAAACCCATAGCGCCACTAATCTCCCGGTACCAGTTTAAACCCAGTATGGACAGTGTGCAACCTTATGCGGCTATAAGCCAGCAAATCCCCAGGCTTGTACGCCATAGCCAGGCATAAATCACTTCTATAATTGTGTAGACAGGTTGTCTCATTGCTTAGCTAATCAATATGTCTTAAAGCTGACTGGCAATAGTTTTCAATGCCAAGCTCATAAAATGAAGCACACATACTTTTATTTTATTCCTAGCTTGAGTTTAACCATCACTGCATGCATGTTATAGTGACGCTACTCTCATACAATCTGCTACTGAAATCTAGAAAAACGCCTATGTTTCATATTGTGTCAAAGGCTTATTTAATAATATACTCACTAGGCTATGCTAACCTTGTTAAATTATAACTACTGTGGTACCGCCTCTGTTAAACAACAAAAATTTTCTCTCACTGTACTTGATGATACCAATCGTGATGTTTAGACTCCTGAAGCTAGCATGTCTCTATAACTAATGATACGTAACTACACTAATTAGATGGCTCATAGCATGGTTATTGCAACGATCTAACGTAATTATACTTTCAATCTACGTTTAAATCCAAATGTTTAAGCCTGATAAAAACATAAAAAATTGTGCTTGTTATTCATGTGCCCCACATGTTCCACGTGGGAAAAGCCAGATGACTGCTTTTGGGGCACCTCTCGCCAGCTTGTATTATGTAATTGCACTGCAAAAATAAAGATTTTTAAAAAATAATAACAAATAAAAAAAATGGTCAGGCCATGTCAAACCGCTTTATTATCTCAGTTCTATGTTTCTACTTTAGAATATTTCGTTTTAACGTTTATCTGATCTGTATTTATGTTTTTAAAAATGGGCTGTGTGGTGAAACCGGCCTCGCCACGTGTCCTTGGAGGGGGCTGCTTGCCCGCCTCTTGCCTTTGGACTATGGACCAGACTTTATGTGAAGTTATTAACCCAGATAGCTATGCCATGGAGCCCATTTGTGTAGTTAAAGACTTCGGCTCCATGGCAATTGAACTGTGTGAATAGGATCTGAGCGCTATTCGGTAGTTTTGTGCGCTCAGATCCCAGCTATCTGGGATATGTGAAATGTCTGTGTCTTATGTGTAAAAGGTGACTTTATGTATTTTAAAGTGTTTTGTGTCTTTTTGCAACCATGTGCTTAATGGAGTCTTGTGTCTGTCCTGGGAGATAATTGAATTACTTATCTCCAGGATAGAAGACTCTGAAACTGGTTTGGGCCAGAAAGCCATGCTTCATTTAGTCACAAAGGACTTTCCCTTAACTTTTGAACCCCTGGTCTGATTCGTGCCATTTTTAAATATGTTGTTCCCCTGAATGGATTGATTATGAAAATGTAAGTTTTATGTATGTACGATGTTAACTCACAAAGTTATAAAAATGTACAAAAAGTAACTTTTCAGCTTGGAGATAATTGAGTAGATACAGTAATTGACTCAATTATCTCCTAAGCAGAGGGGAGGAATATGCTGGGTGTGTTTCTATTGTCCCATTGTGTCTGATTGGCTGCTGTACTTGCATTGTGTGTGTTGTAATGTGTTTATTGGTGGTTCTGCAAAACCCTGTGGGCAGTACTATGTTTTGTGGATTGTAATAAAAACCAGGCTGGGTGTGCCAGCACTGGAGTTCCTGTTTTAACCCTCAAAGTGAAGTGTCGTCTCATTATTGGGGGAAGAATTTATTGTATGCTGTTCCAGTTTGACTGCTAGGAGAGTAAACCTATTCGTATGGTTCCTATTCAACTGTCTACAGCATTCATATGCTTGAGAGGATTCATATGCTTCTCCGGTTCGGTGGTTGTGGTGTCTGCTGCAGTGTTTGGAGTCCTCAGGAAGCGCTAGGAGCATCCTTTAACGGAGGTACCCAGTCGGGGTGCCAGGCGATCTGTTACATTGGTGGCAAGCGGTGGGATGGCGTCCTAGTGCGAGGTAAAGCAGCTCAGAGACACCGTTCGTGGAGTTACAAATTGAGGGCAACGCTAGCACACGTGCAGCGACCCTGGGAGCAGAGGTATCCAGCGACTTGGAGCAGACAAGTATGGAAGGCTCTGGCGATGATTGGATGGCCGAGGTGAGGCAGCGAGTGGCCCAGTATGGGGATGATTTACCCATGGAGGTACGCCGGGTGATCTGGAACCAGGTCACGGCCTAGCGAAACACAAGGCTGGCTCGAGAATTCCGGCTGGCGAAAGAGAGAGAGTATGCTCAGCGGAAGGAGTGTTACAGCAGCCGAGTAGAGGCTGCATCCGAGGAGGCTAGCCGTCTCCCCCTGAGGCGGCCGCAGGAACCCGAAGTAGGGATCCTCATAGACTGGTCCTGTGAGGAACCACAACAGGCAGGTGGAGATGGGACCGGCCCAGATCCCCAGCAGCAGCCAGAGTTGCCAGGTGCGGAAGCAGGTGGTCCTTACTCGCAAATGTTGAGGGACCTCACAGACTGGTCCTGGGAAGACCCACAGATGGCAGGTGGAGATGGGATGGCGGTCTCTCTACCGGCCCTACAGGGATGCTGGGCGGTCGGCCCAGATCTCCAGCGGCAGTATGTATCACAGGGAGCTGAAGGTGCTGTCCTTCCTCCCCAGCGGCAGTGTGAGTTCCAGGGAGCCGAAGGTGCTATCCTTCCTCCCCAGCAACAGTGTGAGTTCCAGGGAGCCAAAGGTGCTGTCATTCCTCCCCAGCGGCAGTGTGAGTCCCAGGGAGCTGAAGGTGCGGTCCTTCCTCCCCAGCGGCAGTCTTTTTCCCAGGGAACGGAAGGTGCAGTCCTTCCTCCCCAGCGGCAGTGTGTCCTGCAGGAAGCGGAGACAGTCTGTCTTTCACCCCAGCGGCAGGACAAAATATTGAAAGGGGAGACAGTTGGTCCCCCTCTCCACCAGCAAAGAGAGTGTCAGGGAGAGGAGCAGGTTACCCCCTCTCCCCAGCGGCAGTCTACAGTTCAGAGAGAGGAGCTTGTTACACCCTCCAGCTGCAGCCTAACCCACCAAGGGGAGATGTTAAGCCCCACAACTATTCAGATGGGACCGTGAAGCTCTGCACTTGGGTAACCAGGGTAGGGACGGCCCGGTCCCGTCCCCCAGCCACAGAGCAGTGTATCCAGAGGGGGAGACAGTCGGCCCCCTCCCACAACCAGGCTCCAACCAGGCTACTTCAGTGGTAGCGCGAGAACCGGCAGAAAGTACCGCTGGTTCTTGCCCACTCAGCACCACCAGCCCCCGCACAACCGCGGGTGAGGCACCTGACATGGACAAGTTGCTATTTTATCCAGGTGTAGTAACCAGTTATTGTGGGTGGGCCAGGCTGTTGTTTGTGCTTCGTAGGAAGGTTGATCAATCCAGGGCACTGACCGCAGGGAGGTCAGATACCCTGTTAGTCTGGATGGTAAAGGGGAGAAATGTGGCGAAACCGACCTCGCCACGTGTCCTTGGAGGGGGCTGCTTGCCCGCCTCTTGCCTTTGGACCATGGACCAGACTTTGTGTGAATGTGTTAACCCAGATAGCTATGCCATGGAGCCCATTCGTGTAGTTAAAGACTTCGGCTCCATGGCAATTGAACTGTGTGAATAGGATCTGAGCGCCATTCGGTAGTTTTGTGCGCTCAGATCCCAGCTATCTGGGGATATGTGAAATGTCTGTGTGTTATGTGTAAAAGGTGACTTTATGTATTTTAAAGTGTTTTATGTCTTTTTGCAACCATGTGCTTAATGGAGTCTTGTGTCTGTCCTGGGAGATAATTGAATTATCTCCAGGATAGAAGACTCTGAAACTGGTTTGGGCCGGAAAGCCATGCTTCATTTAATGCCAAAGGACTTCCTTAACTTTTGAACCCTGGTCTGATTCAGGCCATTTTTAAATATGTTGTTCTGAATGGGATTTTCTCGATTATGAAAATGTAAGTTTTATGTATACTATGTTAACCACAAAGTTATAAAATGTACAAAGTAATCTCTTGAGCTTGGAGATAATTGGAGGGAGCAGTAATTGACTCCAATTATCTCCCAAGCAGAGGGGAGGAATATGCTGGGTGTGTTTCTATTGTCCCATTGTGTCTTGATTGGCTGCTACCTTGCATTGTATGTGCTGTAATGTGTTTATTGGTGGTTCTGCAAAACCCTGTGGGCAGTACTATGTTTTGTGGATTGTAATAAAAACCAGGCTGGGTGTGCCAGCACTGGAGTTCCTGTTTTAACCCTCAAAGTGAAGTGTCGTCTCATTATTGGGGGAAGAATTTATTGTATGCTGTTCCAGTTTGACTGCTAGGAGAGTAAACCTATTCGTATGGTTCCTATTCAACTGTCTACAGCATTCATATGCTTGAGAGAAGGTATACGCTTCTCTGGTTCGGTGGTTGTGGTGTCTGCTGCAGTGCTTGGAGTCCTCAGGAAGTGCTAGGAGCATCCTTTAACGGAGGTACCCAGTCGGGGTGCCAGGCGATCCGTTACATTGGTGGCAGCGGTGGGATGGCGTCCTAGTGCGAGGTAAAGCAGCTCAGAGACACCGTTCGTGGAGTTACAAATTGAGGGCAACGCTAGCACACGTGCAGCGACCCTGGGAGCAGAGGTATCCAGCGACTTGGAGCAGACAAGTATGGAAGGCTCTGGCGATGATTGGATGGCCGAGGTGAGGCAGCGAGTGGCCCAGTATGGGGATGATTTACCCATGGAGGTACGCCGGGTGATCTGGAACCAGGTCACGGCCGAGCGAAACACAAGGCTGGCTCGAGAATTCCGGCTGGCGAAAGAGAGAGAGTATGCTCAGCTGAAGGAGTGTTACAGCAGCCGAGTAGAGGCTGCATCCGAGGAGGCTAGCCGTCTCCCCCTGAGGCGGCCGCAGGAACCCGAAGTAGGGGTCCTCATAGACTGGTCCTGTGAGGAACCACAACAGGCAGGTGGAGATGGGACCGGCCCAGATCCCCAGCGCAGCCGGAGTTGCCAGGTGCGGAAGCAGGTGGTCCTTACTCGCAAATGTTGAGGGACCTCATAGACTGGTCCTGGGAAGACCCACAGATGGCAGGTGGAGATGGGATGGCGGTCTCTCTACCGGCCCTACAGGGATGCTGGGCGGTCGGCCCAGATCTCCAGCGGCAGTATGTATCACAGGGAGCTGAAGGTGCTGTCCTTCCTCCCCAGCGGCAGTGTGAGTTCCAGGGAGCCGAAGGTGCTGTCCTTCCTCCCCAGCGGCAGTGTGAGTTCCAGGGAGCCGAAGGTGCTATCCTTCCTCCCCAGCAACAGTGTGAGTTCCAGGGAGCCAAAGGTGCTGTCCTTCCTCCCCAGCGGCAGTGTGAGTCCCAGGGAGCTGAAGGTGCGGTGCTTCCTCCCCAGCGGCAGTCTTTTTCCCAGGGAACGGAAGGTGCAGTCCTTCCTCCCCAGCGGCAGTGTGTCCTGCAGGAAGCGGAGACAGTCTGTCTTTCACCCCAGCGGCAGGACAAAATATTGAAAGGGGAGACAGTTGGTCCCCCTCTCCACCAGCAAAGAGAGTGTCAGGGAGAGGAGCAGGTTACCCCCTCTCCCCAGCGGCAGTCTACAGTTCAGAGAGAGGAGCTTGTTACACCCTCTCTCCAGCGGCAGCCTAACCCACCAAGGGGAGATGTTAAGCCCCACAACTATTCAGATGGGACCGTAGTCTCTGCACTTGCAGCACCAGGGGTAGGGACGGTCGGTCCTGTCCCCCAGCCACAGAGCAGTGTATCCAGAGGGGAGACAGTCGGTCTCCCCCTCCCACAACCAGGCTCCAACCAGGCTACTTCAGTGGTAGCTCTGGCACCCGGGCAGAGTACCGCTGGTCTTTGCCCACTCAGCAACCCACCAAGGCAGTCTACCAGCCCCCCGCACAGCCGTGGTGAGGCACCTGGACATGGACAAGTTGCTATTTTATCCAGGTGTAGTAACCAGTTATTGTGGGTGGGCTGTATTGCTGTTTGTGCTTGGGTGGGTTGCTGGACTAACCAGGGCACTGACCGGCAGGAGGTCAGATACCCTGTTAGTCTGAATGGTAAAGGGGAGAAATGTGGCGAAACCGGCCTCGCCACGTGTCCTTGGAGGGGGCTGCTTGCCCGCCTCTTGCCTTTGGACTATGGACCAGACTTTATGTGAAGTTATTAACCCAGATAGCTATGCCATGGAGCCCATTCGTGTAGTTAAAGACTTCGGCTCCATGGAAATTGAACTGTGTGAATAGGATCTGAGCGCTATTCGGTAGTTTTGTGCGCTCAGATCCCAGCTATCTGGGGATATGTGAAATGTCTGTGTCTTATGTGTAAAAGGTGACTTTATGTATTTTAAAGTGTTTTGTGTGTTTTTGCAACCATGTGCTTAATGGAGTCTTGTGTCTGTCCTGGGAGATAATTGAATTACTCTCAATTATCTCCAGGATAGAAGACTCTGAAACTGGTTTGGGCCGGAAAGCCATGCTTCATTTAGTCACAAAGGACTTTCCCTTAACTTTTGAACCCCTGGTCTGATTCGTGCCATTTTTTAAATATGTTGTTCCCCTGAATGGATTGATTATGAAAATGTAAGTTTTATGTATGTACGATGTTAACTCACAAAGTTATAAAAATGTACAAAAAGTAACTTTTCAGCTTGGAGATAATTGAGTAGATACAGTAATTGACTCAATTATCTCCTAAGCAGAGGGGAGGAATATGCTGGGTGTGTTTCTATTGTCCCATTGTGTCTGATTGGCTGCTGTACTTGCATTGTATGTGTTGTAATGTGTTTATTGGTGGTTCTGCAAAACCCTGTGGGCAGTACTATGTTTTGTGGATTGTAATAAAAACCAGGCTGGGTGTGCCAGCACTGGAGTTCCTGTTTTAACCCTCAAAGTGAAGTGTCGTCTCATTATTGGGGGAAGGATTTATTGTATGCTGTTCCAGTTTGACTGCTAGGAGAGTAAACCTATTCGTATGGTTCCTATTCAACTGTCTACAGCATTCATATGCTTGAGAGAAGGTATACGCTTCTCTGGTTCGGTGATTGTGGTGTCTGCTGCAGTGCTTGGAGTCCTCAGGAAGCGCTAGGAGCATCCTTCAACGGAGGTACCCAGTCGGGGTGCCAGGCGATCCGTTACAGGCTGAAGTTAGAAAGTATTATAAACAAAGGATCAACTATTGTTCGTGAATGAACATGTTAGATAGAGTTTGCATTGATTAACTCTGTGTTATTGTGCTGCTCAGTTATAGTGGGGACTGGAAAGTTTATCTTAGCATGTCAAGTAGGCAATTAAGTATTGTATTCGTTGAATAAGCTGTACCCTTAATGTAAGGATGTTATGCACATACACAATGTAAGTTGTTCTTTTGCATTGGTGTAAACATGGTTTATACAGAAACGATCACAAAATATTGAAAACCGATAACCTGTTTTTATTTTACATATTATTCTACTTTTCTTTTAATTTTATAGTAAAAACAAAGAGAACGTTTCCTGCGTGAGACAGGAAGGGGTATTTTATAAACCCTGTTTGTATCACACAGCTATGTTGCATTGCTGCCAGCCACCCCATGTTTGTCTTATTAAGAATTTATAAGTATGTAGTGGCAGCAGCCCTTCCTGTCTCAACTGAGAAATTTGCCTTTTAGCTGATACCGGCAAGGCGATTTGTATGTTTTATAGCCCTATTTAGGGATAATTAGTATGTAGGGGTTTATAAAACACCCCTTCATATCTCATTAGAGATGTTTACACTTTGTCTGATACCAGCAAAGTTTATTGTATGTGTAGAAGCCCTATAAAGGGTTAAATGTGAAAGGGTTTATAAAATACCCCTTCCTGTCTCATTAGAGATTCTTGGCTGATATCAGCAAATCTAATGGCTAGAGTAGGACTCACTTTTTGGGGCTTGCCTTGACATGGCAGGTGAGCTTATATATTCAAATGGCCATTGGAATAAAACTAAAGAGCCTCCATTTTGTTTAAATGTACATAGGGATTTAGGCCAGAGTGCAGGTAACATTCTCTTTTTTTTTTACTATGTATTTTGAGCTGTTGGATACTAAGCTACTGCTGCTGTAAGCGCGGTGCTTTATCTTTGTCTTTTAATTTTATATTTAAAGGAATAGTATAGGCACCCAAACCTATTCAGCTCATTGAAGTGGTCTGGGTGCACAGTCCCTGTCCCCTTTAGTTCATTGCAGTTTTAGAGAAACAGCCTCTAGTGGCTGTCTACCAGACAAACAGGGGGGTAGCGAGAGAGGGAGACCAGAGATCACTATAGTGTTAGGAATAAAACTTTGTACTCATAACATTATAGAATCCCTTTAAGAATTAGCAAATATCATCACAATCCATTTCAGTCCATGCACATCAGGACACATAATAAACAAGTAGAAGAAATTCTACTATTCTACAGTCTATAACATTCGCCGACGGTACTCACCTGTCCCAGGGTGCCCACGACACCCTGGAGGTCAAGTTGCAGCGGTTATTGTGCCTGTGGCTGCTGCACCCCAGTCTGCATCCTCTGAACCTCGATTCACAGCCAAGGAACTCGGCGTGATTGTTCCAGCATTCCAAGATGGCAGCCGCTGCATGAGGAAACTGGTCTGCAGAAACATAGAAACATAGAATGTGACGGCAGATAAGAACCATTTGACCCATCTAGTCTGCCCAATTTTTTAAATGCAGGTCAGAGGTTGAAGGAGGTGTGGCTTAGGGGTGGAATGAAGACAATGATGCATCCAAGATGGGGTCCACAGTCAGTCACATTGACCTCAGATAACCCCCCCACCCCCTACAAGTGAGACCAGGTTATGTTACTGAACCACTCCTTTATAAGCAGCTCACTCCTTTCAGTCAGTGCTGGGTTGTTTTGTTGCCTGCCTCAGAACTCCTAGCGTATGTTTCTCCAAATTTGTTCTCATTGCCGCCTGCCCATCCATCTGGTTCGTCTGACTCTGATTTCTCCCTGACCCTTCTTCGAATACCTTTGCCTTGGATTTTTCTGCTATTTTATTAAATCCCCTGTGTCATCACTGATCCAACAGAATCCTGTTCTCAGCTTTAGGATCTCTGTGGATTGTGCTTGTAAGGGAGAGCTGTTACTGCACCTGAGTTCTAGGACTAAACACAACCCTGTCACTTACAAAGGGCTTATAACAATGACTGACAGGGAGGTACAGTGCCTTGCAAAAGTATTCACCCTCCTTGACCTTTTACCTATTTTGTTACATTACAGCCTTAAGTTCAATGTTTTATTAATCTGAATTGTATGTGATGAATCAGAACACAAAAGTTGGTGAAGTGAAATGAGAAAAATATATACATAAAACTATTTTAGAAATAGAAAACAGAAAATTGGCATGTGCGTATTTATTCACCCCCTTTGTTATGAAGCCCATAAAAAGCTCTGGTGCAATCAATTACCTTCAGAAGTCACATAATTAGTGAAATGGTGTCCACCTGTGTGCAATCTAAGTGTCACATGATCTTTCATTACATATACACACCTTTTTTGAAAGGCCTCAGAGGCTGCAACACCTAAGCAAGAGGCACCACTAACCAAACACTGCCATGAAGACCAAGGAAATCTCCAAGTAAGGGACAATGTTGCTGAGAAGTACAAGTCAGGGTTAGGTTTTAAAAAAAATATCCAAATCTTTGATGATCCCCAGGAGCACCATCAAATCTATCATAACCAAATGGAAAGAACATGGCACAACAGCAAACCTGCCAGATAGGCAGCACATAGACCTAAGGTGACCCTGGAGGAGTTGCAGAGTTCCACAGCAGAGACTGGAGTATCAGTACATAGGACAACAATAAGCCGTACGTTCCATAGTGTTGGGCTTTATGGCAGAGTGGCCAGAAGAAAGCCATTACTTTCAGCAAAAAACAAAATGGCTCGTTTTGAGTTTGCAAAAAGGCATGTGGGAGACTTCCAAAATGTATGGAGGAAGGTGCTCTAGTCTGATGAAACTTGAAATTTTCGGCCATCAAAGAAAACACTATGTCTGGAGCAAACCCAACACATCACCCATAAACATAATCTTTTTCAGCACCTGGGACTGGGAAACTGGGAAAGATGGATGGTGCTAAAGGGATATTCTTGAGCAAAACCTGTACCACTCTGTGCGTGATTTGAGGCTAGGACGGAGGTTCACCTTCCAGCAGGACAATGACCTCAAACACACTGCTAAAGCAACTCTTGAGTGGTTTAAGGGGAAACATGTAAATCTGTTGAAATTGCCTAGTCAAAGTCCAGACCTCAATCCAATAGAAAATCTGTGGTCAGACTTAAAGATTGCTGTTTGCAAGTGCAAACCATCCAACCTGAAGGAGCTGGAGCAGTTTTGCAAGGAGGAATGGGCAAAAATCCCAATGGTAAGATGTGGCAAACTCATAGAGACTTATCCAAAGCGACTTGGAGCTGTGATTGCCGCAAAAGGTGGCTCTACAAAGTATTGACTTTAGGGGGTGAATAGTTGACTTTTTCTGTTATTTTGTCCTATTTTTTGCTTGCTTCACAATAAAAAAAACAAAAAAAACATCTTCAAAGTTGTGGGCATGTTCTGTAAATTAAATGATGCAAATCCTCAAACAATCCATGTTAATTCCAGGTTGTGAGGCAACAAAACACGAAAAATGCCAAGGGGGGTGAATACTTTTGCAAGGCACTGTATGTGATGATTGTGTGTGTGCATCTCTGTGGTTAAGTGTGTTGTGAGTGTGTCTGTGGTTGTGTGTGTGTGGTTGTGTGTGTGTGTGTGTGTGTGTGTGTGTGTGTGTGTATATATATATATATATATATATATATATATATATAATATACACACAATAGAAAATATATATACACACATGTATACACACATATTTTTTATTGTAAAGCGCTGCGGAATAAACTGGCATTATATAAATTTTAACTAATAATAATAATAATAATATATATATACACACACAAACATACATCTATTGTGTAATTGTATGTGGATATAAATGTCTATGTGTTTAGTAGATAGCTCTCTTATTTGGTGTCCTTAAATATTGCAATTTCACATAAGGATAACAAATAAGTGAGTTATCTACAAAACAATTAAAAGATTAAAATAAAAAAGGGCTTTTTAAATTTTTAACTTTTAGCTGTTTAGTAGATAATTTCCTAAATTTGTGCCCTTATGTGAGATTTCCATATTTAAAGCTACCAAATTAGGGTGCTGTTTATCAGATAGTTCCCTTATTTGGTGTCCTTTAAATATGGCAATTCCACATAAGTATAGCAAATAGGGGAGTTGTCTGATAAACAAAGATCGAAGTTAAGAGGTGTCAGCCAGCCCAAAACAAGAAATCTGGGTGGCTAATGTGAATTATATGCAAATTTCTTGCTGGATGCCAGCATGCACAGCATGCAGGCATCATACAGCCAATGGCAGAATATTACCCCACCCCTAGAGAAACATTTTAGTGGACACCCCTCCCCTCCCCCCAGTTTTGACTGTGGTATCTTCTCTCCCACCCCCCACCCCTCATATATTGTTCCAGCAGTCGCCACTGTTTCTGCATGTGTTTCAGTGTGTGTCTGTGTACCCCTGTGTCTATGTATCTGCATGAGAAAATATATGTATCTGCATGTGTGTAAGTGTGTATATGTGCATACATCTCAGA